AATAGAGACGAACCCAAGTTGCCGGCCCAACATTTGATTGCTTCATTATCCGGCGTGTGCATCAAGAATTGACCCTCGTCGTAATGACATTCAGTGCGGACCGAATTCGCATCTGACCCATGCGACAGTTCCGTCAAACAAAAGCAGCCGACAATCTTCAATAATTTTATCAGCTAATCATCTTTCTAAGTTTATTTCGAGATCAATTTGAAGTCGAAATGATCAATGGTGCAAACAGGATCGGAAGTCCTTCTACCCCTTGCAATGAATTTATAAAGAGCAATGCATTAGGACGAATTTTAACAAACTTTTTAAATGAAAGATCAATGATTGGATGATATAAAGACCTCATTGTTCCTGCATTTCTCGAGTATTTGATGGTGCCGATTTGTTCCCATTGATAATATTGTAACATAGAAGATGGCACTGATATAGAATTTTGCTGCTAAACTTTGGTCATAACTTTCTAAGATTTCCGCGAAATCCACAAATCTTTCAGGATTTGTTTTAAGCTATAATATAACTTTATATTGTGATTGGAGAAGATGAGAAATTGAAAGCAGAATATTTTTTGAAAATGATAGGTCCACCACTAAGGATATGTGTTACAGCACGACAAAATCATATCAAAAATGAGAAGAGACTGATCATAGACCCCATCGAACGTGATGAAATTGTATTCCAGAAATTGTTTCCATCGTCGATCGCATATTTGGCGGCTTTCATCCATCGTCAATGTTCGCCAATCGCGAACAAAAACATTACTAGCACGGAGTTTTTCAAAGACCTCATTCTAAATTATGAAGAAAAATATTTGCAAATATAAATTTTAAAATTTGGCATTAATTCAGAGTAGACATTAAAGTTGTAAAGAAATGTCAATCTGAATTTGCTACAGTTGATAACTTTAATTAAACACCGTACATTTTGCATTGCGAATTTTCATCTGGTGAAAGATATTTATTTAATTGAATACGTAAAAGTTAGATAATAAAGGTTGCTTTGATAAAACGATTTTTTCCAGCTCCAGATGAAATCAGCTCCCTCCCTAACACCCAGTTGAATAAGATTGAAGTAGTTTAAAATCATTTTTTCCCTCAGAAAATTCCCTATTATTTACCTTAAACTTAATACTCTCCGAACCGTATAGCCATTCCTGCAGATCATGCCAACAGAATCCTGCCATTCGTCGATATTCCAATAATTTATCATTTATTTCAAGAGTAGAGTCTAACTGATATGGTGTCATAAAAATCATAACGTGTTTGGGGAATCCCCACAGATGAATTTCCTGAAAATTTAATCAGAGTCAACTGTTCGCCCGTATCACTAGTCCTACTTCTTTTGTTATATCTAATAATTACGGTTAGTCCTGGAAAACAAAACAAAAATAATGCGCAGCCAAAAGTTAGAATCATAAGACATTAAAAGATCCGGCTACGGCTCAACAAATCACCAAATGTTGTGACTGAGAGATAATTATTCCTTCCAGCCTAAATTAGGCTCATTTCGTGGCACATTTGAAATGATAAAGTCAATTCAGATAAATGAAATGCCACCCACTAAAAATTCCATTACCACAATCATTCCTACAACATTTCTTCAATTCAAAGTTTTTTGCACGAAACATATTTCTATCATTTTGAATAGCATTATCAGATTTTTATATTTCAGTTATCAACTATGTACAGGAGATATGATTAAGTAATGCAAATAACAGAATACAACAACAATCGAGACAAAAGCATAGGCAAATATGATATGGAATACAACAATAATAAATTTTACTTCCGACTTTTCAATACACGAACTTGCATTTAAAAAAGCAGAAGTAAAGCTGTAAAAATTAAGTATTTAAATTTTGTTATCTCCTGACACCATAAAATTCAAATCCACACAACCTAATGAAAGCACATCAATTTTAAAACACCATAAATCATTCAAACAATTCCAATTCTTCACTGATCCAGAATGTGTTATCATTCAATCTCAATTGAAAGTAATAGAAGAAAAAATATGAGACAAGAAAGCAATACGCTGTAATGCTAATAAATGCATCTAAGCGAGAATTATGAAAACATGCAAAAAAACTGGTAAAACATTCCACCTCTATCCTTCCACTGTGAAATGGACCAAGTTAAAGCCTTTTAGGACCTAATCATTCATTCGCTTATCAATGAAATTATCATCCATGCACCGGGGAGAAAATGATCTGTAGATCACTTATAAATGTTTTAAACAGAGATCACCAAAATTCATGGCTGACTTCATGGTCTGAATTCCATATTCGAATTTAAAAATCCTATTTTCAGTTAAATATTTTAAACTGGGAAACTAATGACAAGCCTAATTTATTCAGAATACCATGTCGACGTATTGACCCTGTACGGTCATTGATGGACGAATATTCTGGCGATTTTGATGATGCACTCCACGACCTCGTCCACTGTGGGCACCTCTTCCAGCTGTATATTCAAAGAGACTCGTCTGAAAAAAGGCAGGTTGAAGAGAACTGCGACAGACTGCATAAAAACGAAAAAGTAAGGAACAGAAAGCTGTTTCAAGATAAGACCAGAAGTGATGACAGTTTGAAAATATCGAATGAAAAATCATATCCATGAAGTGACAAACCGAGATAGTGCTCATCAAATCTTTGACGTCGGCTGCTGGATGAGGCTGTGTGAAGAAAAATAAATGGTCGAGAGCCTGCTCAGCATCGAGGCGAAGCGATGGATCCAGAACCAGAAGACTGTCGATCAAGTTCAAGGCATTTCGATCCTTAAAAAGATCTTTGATATCCGAAACACACCACATCTAATATAATAAATTTGAGATCTTACTCTAACATAAACTTCCAAACGTTCAACCACACGACGATTTAGATTTTGTTGAAGCTCCATTTTGCCATAGAGTGGTAAATTTTCCACGCCCCTCCATGTTTGCGGGTTAATACTTCCACACAAATTGGATATCAGTGCTAACTGTTTTTGTTCACTTTCACCCTGAAAACCACATCACTTAATCTCAGAACTGCTCTCTAAGTAGTAAAAGCACACAATGTAGGTTGATACACTAAATACAAGCTGATGTTAAGGTTTGGGTCTGGAGAGTATATCGATAAAGGCACTCAACGTTTCATTTTAGGAATCACGATATGATCTAAACAAATGCTGCACAGCGATGTAATTATGACAACATACTTGCAGAATAGGAGTACGTGTCCATAATTCAGCCATGATGCAGCCCGCACCCCACATGTCGATCTGTGGTCCATAATGACGTTCACCAAGAAGCAATTCAGGAGGACGGTACCATAAAGTAACAACTCTGTTCGTGTAACAATGTTCCGGTTGACCTGAAATATTACACAACAATGCACAATCCGCAGTCATTATCTCATCGGATGATCAAGACCACATTATCAAAATAAACTACAAGCCGATGCACAACTAATCCAAACTGCTCCGTTGAATTTACTTCCTAGATGTAAGATCAGTTCAGAAATATCGCTAGCGCGATGGTAATCAGTCGCAACAACACAACATAAAATACCAGGTAATTTTGAAAAAAGAGGTCGCGCTAAACCAAAGTCTGCCAATTTTAATATACCGTCTTTTGTAATTAAAACATTCGCTGCCTGAAATGGAGAAAAATTATGACTAAATTACATGAAATATGATCCCATTATATTCACAGAATGCTTTCTTTGCTAACTTTCACCTCAAAAAATAAGATTATTGATCATCCAGACAAGATTAAATGCAGGTAAAAAACCAAGCTCATATAAAATTGAGTAAAAAAATCAACGCAAATAAAATCACGCAAGTAAAAAATCAAGTAAAGAAAATCAATACAGATAAATTCAGAAAACAAAGTTGTCTGTAAAACAAAAAAGTTGAAGACAAAGAGATAAAAGTATAACATACCTTCATATCACGATGTAATATTTTTGCAAAATGTATCTGATAAAGACCTTCTAATAAATGTTTCATCAATGTTTTTATATGTACTAAGGAGAGTCGAACATTGGTATTAGAGAGAAGACCAGCGAGATCGTGCTCACAAAAAGAGAATACCAAATAGAAGGTACTACGCTCTCGATTATGTACTGATGCTGAAATAAAAGAGATGATTTGGATCTTATAACTAATTGAAATTCCAAGTAAACAAACTTGAATAGCATACCTCTGCTACTACATATCTCTATCAATTCAGTAATATGTTTGTGCTTTAGTTTCTGCAGCATTTTCACTTCCCTTAGAGCTGTTATTGGAAACTGCAACACAACAAATTACTAAAATCTTCTTAGCAAGGATTCCAAATTACAAATTATATCACGACATGAAAATTATTAAAAAACAAATAAAATGAGCAAAAACATACCCCTTCTTTTTCATTCTCCATCAAAATTTTCTTCAGAGCAACGATTCGACCCGTACGCTTACAACGTGCTTTGAATACTTCCCTTTAAGTAGTGAAGCAGTAAACATAGATTCTTCAGGTTTTCATGAATTAGATTGTTCTGGTCAAAAAAGATTACCCGAATGTTCCCTGACCGATTTTTGCCAATTTCTCGTAGTTAGTGATATCAGTGATATATGGAAACTCGAATCTTTCGGTATACCTCATCAATTCAGGAGTAACCTGAAACCAAATACCAAATCAGCTCAATTTGATTGACTCGAAAGTAACTTACTTCTGCATAGAATGACTGATGGGAATAATCAACTCAGTAACGCAATCTGTTATATATGAAAAATAAAATAACCTTCTGACGATTCATCAGAGCGATATCATCCTTTGACGGTTGTAATATCGATGACGCGACTGGAACGGATGTTGTGCTGCCGTTTGTGCCGAATGAATGCGGCTGTTGAGGAAAATGATTGTTCTGCATTTCAGTGTGAATAAATTGAAGAGCTACAAATGACTTATTATTTAACATATTATTTCCATTTCATGCAGCAAACACTCACGTAGATTTGACGCACAAAACATGACGGAGACAACCCATCCACAACCACCAATTACCCGCAAGCATCAATAAAACCAATCTCAAAATACAACTCCTCCCGAATGCCCACATTGAAAATTGCACCGTCTCAATATCTACTCAGTGAAGACAACACGAATGATTTCAAACTGCCATAAATTTATCATTATCATATTGGATTTGGAGATTACCGTAAGCATTTCACAATCTTTATTCCTTTATTAATGATGTCACAGAGACAGTAAGTACGATATGGTATTCTGAATAAATTAGGCTTGTCATTAGTTTCCCAGTTTAAAATATTTAACTGAAAATAGGATTTTTAAATTCGAATATGGAATTCAGACCATGAAGTCAGCCATGAATTTTGGTGATCTCTGTTTAAAACATTTATAAGTGATCTACAGATCATTTTCTCCCCGGTGCATGGATGATAATTTCATTGATAAGCGAATGAATGATTAGGTCCTAAAAGGCTTTAACTTGGTCCATTTCACAGTGGAAGGATAGAGGTGGAATGTTTTACCAGTTTTTTTGCATGTTTTCATAATTCTCGCTTAGATGCATTTATTAGCATTACAGCGTATTGCTTTCTTGTCTCATATTTTTTCTTCTATTACTTTCAATTGAGATTGAATGATAACACATTCTGGATCAGTGAAGAATTGGAATTGTTTGAATGATTTATGGTGTTTTAAAATTGATGTGCTTTCATTAGGTTGTGTGGATTTGAATTTTATGGTGTCAGGAGATAACAAAATTTAAATACTTAATTTTTACAGCTTTACTTCTGCTTTTTTAAATGCAAGTTCGTGTATTGAAAAGTCGGAAGTAAAATTTATTATTGTTGTATTCCATATCATATTTGCCTATGCTTTTGTCTCGATTGTTGTTGTATTCTGTTATTTGCATTACTTAATCATATCTCCTGTACATAGTTGATAACTGAAATATAAAAATCTGATAATGCTATTCAAAATGATAGAAATATGTTTCGTGCAAAAAACTTTGAATTGAAGAAATGTTGTAGGAATGATTGTGGTAATGGAATTTTTAGTGGGTGGCATTTCATTTATCTGAATTGACTTTATCATTTCAAATGTGCCACGAAATGAGCCTAATTTAGGCTGGAAGGAATAATTATCTCTCAGTCACAACATTTGGTGATTTGTTGAGCCGTAGCCGGATCTTTTAATGTCTTATGATTCTAACTTTTGGCTGCGCATTATTTTTGTTTTGTTTTCCAGGACTAACCGTAATTATTAGATATAACAAAAGAAGTAGGACTAGTGATACGGGCGAACAGTTGACTCTGATTAAATTTTCAGGAAATTCATCTGTGGGGATTCCCCAAACACGTTATGATTTTTATGACACCATATCAGTTAGACTCTACTCTTGAAATAAATGATAAATTATTGGAATATCGACGAATGGCAGGATTCTGTTGGCATGATCTGCAGGAATGGCTATACGGTTCGGAGAGTATTAAGTTTAAGGTAAATAATAGGGAATTTTCTGAGGGAAAAAATGATTTTAAACTACTTCAATCTTATTCAACTGGGTGTTAGGGAGGGAGCTGATTTCATCTGGAGCTGGAAAAAATCGTTTTATCAAAGCAACCTTTATTATCTAACTTTTACGTATTCAATTAAATAAATATCTTTCACCAGATGAAAATTCGCAATGCAAAATGTACGGTGTTTAATTAAAGTTATCAACTGTAGCAAATTCAGATTGACATTTCTTTACAACTTTAATGTCTACTCTGAATTAATGCCAAATTTTAAAATTTATATTTGCAAATATTTTTCTTCATAATTTAGAATGAGGTCTTTGAAAAACTCCGTGCTAGTAATGTTTTTGTTCGCGATTGGCGAACATTGACGATGGATGAAAGCCGCCAAATATGCGATCGACGATGGAAACAATTTCTGGAATACAATTTCATCACGTTCGATGGGGTCTATGATCAGTCTCTTCTCATTTTTGATATGATTTTGTCGTGCTGTAACACATATCCTTAGTGGTGGACCTATCATTTTCAAAAAATATTCTGCTTTCAATTTCTCATCTTCTCCAATCACAATATAAAGTTATATTATAGCTTAAAACAAATCCTGAAAGATTTGTGGATTTCGCGGAAATCTTAGAAAGTTATGACCAAAGTTTAGCAGCAAAATTCTATATCAGTGCCATCTTCTATGTTACAATATTATCAATGGGAACAAATCGGCACCATCAAATACTCGAGAAATGCAGGAACAATGAGGTCTTTATATCATCCAATCATTGATCTTTCATTTAAAAAGTTTGTTAAAATTCGTCCTAATGCATTGCTCTTTATAAATTCATTGCAAGGGGTAGAAGGACTTCCGATCCTGTTTGCACCATTGATCATTTCGACTTCAAATTGATCTCGAAATAAACTTAGAAAGATGATTAGCTGATAAAATTATTGAAGATTGTCGGCTGCTTTTGTTTGACGGAACTGTCGCATGGGTCAGATGCGAATTCGGTCCGCACTGAATGTCATTACGACGAGGGTCAATTCTTGATGCACACGCCGGATAATGAAGCAATCAAATGTTGGGCCGGCAACTTGGGTTCGTCTCTATT